TATTTATGTTAAAGCTTCTTTCATGCTCATAGTTCCTCCCCCAAAACTAAATATCAACATGAAAACATTAAGATTTCTGGTCTGTTTTCCTAAAAAACAAGGTCCTCTGTTTTACATTTAAAGTATGAAAGTTTATTTCAGTCTTTGAAGCTAATTGTCTCTGTAGTTATATCTCCCAGACTGAAGCACTATGGAACAATAAAAAGAAATAATAAATAATTTGGCCAACAGATGTTTCTGCAACTACTGCTTTTTATTTTTTATTTTTTTATCCAAGCTAAGTTTCGCTGAGTGCTGTTTTGTTTGTTGAACAAAACTATTTTTAAATACTACGTATATTTTGGCTTGTTTTGGACTTGTGGTGCAATAAAAAATATTTTAAGGCAACAGAATAGTTCAACATAAACATTTTGAGTTTAAGTGGCTCTATTTTCTTTTTCCATATGGTTATTGTCAGGGTTCGGGTTGAGGTTGAGGACCTATATGCAGAGAGGCTGAAGTGATTTCTTGGAGTTTAATGGGAAAAAAACAGTAAACGAAGGCAGGAATCCAAAAATCCAATTAATTATGTAAATCAAACCAGAACTATTTAGACATCAGAGGAAACCAAACACAAGGAGCCAGGGAAAGGGAGAGTATATTTAGCTGACTGAGACAAAGGCAGGGTTAACGAGCGGAAAAGGAGGAGATGTGAGTGGAGACAACGAGGAGGCCAAGGGGAAAGGAACACACACAAGAGGACAACAGAAAAAGAGGACAACAGAAAAACCTGAGAACTAACATAAATCTAGAAACTACAACAAAATAGGAATTAAACGAATAAAACTAGAAAACAAGGAGCAAAGTAAAGCACATCATAACCAAAACAGTGACAGTTATGATGTTAGTCTTAGGTAAACACACCAATGTTAATTTAGATTTTCATTAAAAGTCTGAGATTTTGGTTCTCATTTAATGTGTTTTCTTAATTTATTTTTTACAATATTAGACCATATACAAACAAATTCCTCTTAACTAAGGGTGCATTAATTAAAGTAATGTTGGTAATATTTTGCTGTTTGTTGATGTTTTTCAGACTGATTTTGACTGATGATGTAAATAATCAAGTTATATAGAGAACCAAAAACATTTTGGTGGATTTTTAGCTGAGCTGTGTATGCCCTGCTCATCTTTTTATTCTTTGTTTGATATTGTTATAAGATCGTTTAAACATTATCTCCTTCTTCTCTTCTCTAACAGTATGGAATTGATGTGAAAGCAAAGGACAGCCAAGGCCAGACGCCAATGATGATTGCCAGAAAAACAGGAAGCAAAGGCTGCATGGATATTTTGCTCCAACACGGATGCTCCAATGAGACATCCCCCAATGCCGCCACTCCGGTCCTCTCCCGCCGTTCCAGCACTGCCAGCCTGGGGCGAACCGGCTCCAGGAAGTGGGTATCGTAGCCCGGACTGATGACGGCGCTTTAACAGCCTGGAGGATGGCCAGAGTTTAGAGATTTTTGTTAAAAAGTGGAGCAAGCTGTGGTGCCACAACACGGCGGGACTAAAAGAACATAATACAAAGAATATAATAAAAAAAAAAAAATAAATAGACTAAAGACTGAACATATCAAACACGAAAGCAATATTCATCCAGTGATTCCATCACAAGCATATTGCTGAAATACTGTCCTGTAGAAATGTCTTCTGTCATTCTTAGCACAGCCCGTCTGTCTGCTTGTCACTTCCTCCTGATGAAGTGCAATAATCCATCTGTGACGATGAAGAGCAACAGTTTAAGGTGTGGACTGTGGCAGCAGAAAGTGCGCTCAACATCCAATGATTCTCTTCCAATTTTGTTGTGACTGGACCAAATTTTTGTTGTTGTTTTTTCTCATGCTTTAAGAATGAAACTTGAACCTCTAAAATGGCGCAATCTCACTCAGTTCAGCAGAAATAAACAGTTTCAGCAGCGAAAACACAGCTCGATCCAGATGCAGAATCCATGAAATGCCCGCGAAGTTCAAGCAAAAGGACTCAGCTTTGTAAAAAACAATTTGTTAAAAATAAGTCAGGTTTGTTTTTCCTTGTCTTTTATAATTTCTTCTTGCCGTACATTCCATGAAGCAGTGAGCAGATGTGAACATGCAGTATGTAACCATGTGTTGAAACATTTATTCGGGATCGTTGAGAGACTACATGAAGATGCTATCCACATTTATATCACTGTTGTGTATTGATGATTTAAAAGTAAAGTATGAAGCAGTTTGGACACTTTGTGGATCGTGTGAATTCCTCATGACTTAAATGAAAATTAAAGTTTTTTATTAGCAATATAAAGATTGTTTTGTTTGTATGTCTACTTTGTTTTGGAATTCTGCTTGTGTGCGACTTGCTGTTATATCTGTCATTTTGTTTTTGCAGAGTCGGTAAGTGGTTTAAAGCAGTTTTGACGATTATGTTTTGTAGAGTGAAATGTGAGGACATGAAGAAGAGATGACAGTTAGCAGATGAAACTTGTGGGATTTTTTATTAATATTTATGAGATTAAAAAATGAATGTTTTTTACTATGTCTTACTTGGTCAAAGAAGGTTGAGGAGTTTATAAAGGGAATGCCAGACATCTGGACGAGGTGGATGTTGGTTGATGGAGTAACTTGGGATTTGTGTGCAGCACTGTGGGACCTGTGTGCGAACAGGAGAGGGAAGGAATCTGACGATTCTTCAGGTTCCGTCCTACACCATCACACCACCATGAGGTTATTTTTCTTAATTGATGTGGGCTCTTTATAGTCTTTGGATAATTGCTTTTCCATTTAACAAAGAAATGTACCCTTACCAAAGCATATGTTCTTGTATGTTCCTCATACTGAGGTGCTCTCAAGGGGTTTTAGTTAGTTCAGGTTAGTTGCCTTCAAAAACCTCCATGTGAACACTAACTAGTTCCCCTAATTCCCAAAGATAATTCAATGATACAGAGAAGCAGCATCTCTTTTCCAAACTCCTAATTTTGTCTCAAAGACTGATGACCCTTTGGGGGAGGATTATCTCAACTATTCACATCACAGATCTTGTTTTTTTCAGTCTTGATCCAAATCTGTCCACAAGTGAAGACTGTAAACAAGAGAGTTCAGCCTTTCAGCTGAGTTCATGCTTCCCGATAAAAGGATACCATGGTTTAGCTCTTATATTACAGCAAATTAAGCAATCTTCCATTGTTATCTTTATTGCTTCTTCAACCAAAATTAAAGCCAAGATTTTCTTCAACTTGAGGCAGATTCCCACCTCAAACCCAAAGTGGTTCTGCTTGAGAACCACGGCCTCCGACTGATGAGCTGATTTGAACTGCCTTCTTTATCCAAAATATGCCCTTTGCTGTCTTAAATATTTTTTATCCTAACAAACTCATCAGCCTTTGGCCTTTTATCAGAAAATGTCTGAAGATGCACTTTTATTCTTAAATTTAAAGGGTATTGAAAGTTTTTAATCACATACCGGTTATCTGTTTGTGTTCCTTTTCTAACCTCTCAAACTCATATGGGAAAACCTTTGGCTTGGTTTTATATTCTGATGGTCAAACTAAGCCATTTAGGTTCCTAAGCACTTTAAAAACAGAACAATGAGTTCAGTAGTTTACAGTGAACTTTACTGTTTTACCTCTTTTTACGAACATCCATTCCTTTCAAGGAACTCAGATTAGTTTAGAAAAATCTTAACATAATTTGCATGATATTCAGGGCGTTCAGTGTTTATGGCTAATCACACTAATCAAACTGTCTAAATCTTATACTTATATATTTTTTTCCTTTTTAAAAGGCCATCTGCTTATCAGGCCCTGTGGTTTGTAGGCATTTTTTGTGCACTGTGCAGTACTTCCTATTTTGTGGCATATCAGCATTTCTGTAAATGTGTAAAAAAATGTGAATGCCTGTTAGAATAATTGGTTCTTTCATTTCTATGTATTTTCATAAAATGATAACTTCTTTTTCGTTTTTGTATTCAGGTGTTGAAAATAACATTATTTACATGCCTTATTTGTCTTACTTGTCTGATAACAAGGTGTGCTACAAACATGTGTGGCCCCACATGTCCCCCTAATGAGGTCAAGGTCAAGGTTTGGTGTCTATCTAAGGCAGTCTTTGGGCCATATTTGTCACCCCCCCACCCCCCTCCCCCTTTACTTTTAAAGATGCACCCATTATGGAGAAACAAGAAAGTAAAACAGCCACATGCAATTGAAATAAAAAAAAATCAAAACAATTTCATTGTAATAATGAGGTTGGTGTATATATTTTATTTAATTTTGTTTTGGTTATTATTGTAGTTTTAATTCTTTTAGTTAAAAATGCTATAAGAAACTTCCACAATATAATTTACTTAACTGAAGAATTTACTTCTAATTAAAAATAAATAATTTAATAATTTAAAGCCTAGATTATAACGAAACAGATGATGATTGATATTTTAAAAACAGTTCAAATTAAAAGACATTCTTCATTCATTTTATCAATTATTTGTTTCTTTTTTGTTTCTTTCATTCTTTAGTAAAGTTAGTTTGTTAATTAGTGAGGTAGTTAGTTAATTTGTTAAAATAAAAAAAAATCACTCTTCCACAATATCTGGAAGTTTATTGCAGAGTTGGAGAACCATTTTCATTTAGTTTAAATTTCCTGTTATTGCTTTTTTAATTATTATTCCTACACCAAATGCATGTTTTGTTTACGTTTTTAGCCACTCCATACATATGCAAGTCGTTATGTTGAGCAACTTCTCTTAATAATTTTACATGTTTTTATTTCTATTTGAACTATTTCTCACTGTAGGCCTAGACACGTATTTATTGTGTTTTTTTATATTTCTTTTAACTTTCTTCTTTTTTTTTTTTTTTTTTTTTTTTTTTTTTTTACATTTGTGTGTATCTGCAAGCTTCTTTTTGTCTTGTGTTCTGCATCTCTTGCGTTTCCCCTTTTCTGCAGAATCACCTCCAAACTGTAGGGGGCGACATGACAAACATTGGTGTCATGCGTCACAAAGAAGCGACGGTCAACAAAATGTGATTATTGTGAGGAACCACCTGAGTACGAAAACAAACTGAAACAGACGACATTTCTTAGCTCTGCAACCACTTTTAATGGGTGAGTCCTGATAATGACGAAGAGGAGGTTTTATAAGCGTGAATAACTCGGCGTCACCTGCTGGTTTTAGCTTATTTCTCAGCAAAGTTGTCGCTCCTATAGTTTTATAGAAATAGCTGCATATCAGCTTTATTTATGGTGTACTGATGCTAATCAGAGCACGAATAGTCACTATATCCTCCCCACTGCTTGATTCGTTGTTTGATACATTTCAAGATAGTTAATATTATTATCTTTTTGCTCATTCGCTTTAACCAATTGCGTTATTCTGTAAATTTTATGCAACATTTCGTTCAAAAAGGGAAGCATATGTCTTGTATTGATTCATGGCTTCTCTCCAGCATGATTTTAAATACTTAATACTTTAAAATAAAAGTATAAAAAACATACAAGAGCAGGACAGGGCTTACAGTGCGTGCTTTATATAAAAGAGAAGCAGGTTTAGGTTGTGCTGTACTGTATGTTTGTTTTCCAGATGAGTTCTTGTTTCTGGAAAAGAAATGGGCAAAATGTGTTGAAATAACAGAACTTTTCTCCGCACTGCAGAAAGAACAAATATGGGTTGATTATCATGGCATCACCACAGTCAGCTCTTTCCCAGACTATACTGATACATTAAATCAGCCTAAAGGACCTCTAATCAATTAATACATTGAAGGTCATACTTTTCTGTTTCCTCTTAAATGGCTCTCGAAGCTCCAGCTGCTTCCCCTGGATGATAAATCTCCCTCAAACTGTCCAATAAGCGTTTCTATATAGTCCTCTGTTACACCTGCTGATTCTGCACTAAGTCAGCTTTTTGGTAGGAATGTCTGAAAGGATGATCTAACTTTTTGAGAAGCGCTTTTGTCTCCATTTCTCTGTATTTCTTCCCTGCAGGTCGTCTGTAAGATTAAAGCTGCAGCAGCAGGGATGAGGATCCAGCTGAAGGGTCCTGGCCACTCTGCCAAGCTGCTCGCAGAGCTCAACCGCTGCCGGCAGACGCGTCAATACTGCGATGTCTTCCTGCAGGTCGGCAGCCGGACTTTCGCAGCACACCGGGTGGTTTTGGCCTGTGCTGGGAGTTACTTTCGCAACCTGTTCAGCCGGGCTCCACCCACATCCCCTCCTGTGTTTTCACTGGAGTTCGTTTCAGCAGCCAATTTTGAGAAGGTGCTGACTTTTGTCTACACGGGGGAGATTTTGATCGATCTCATAGACGTGGGGGTGCTGTACGAGCTGGCTGAGAGGCTCGGCGTCGGCGAGCTGGTCAGGGCCTGCCATGCAACCTTTCCAGACCTGCAGGCGTCTGTTTCTGCGAAAGCAGGCGAAGATGGAGACCTCCCCCTGGACTCGGGGATGGTGGCTGCTGCCCCCACGGTGGCAGCTATCTGTACAGCCTCTGCTTCGTCTATCTGTTCCTCTGCAGCCTCCTGCTCTTCTCTGTCCTCATCAGTGGGTCAGTCTGCTGCCCCGACCCCCGGTGCAGCGTCTTCACCTCTGTTCCAAACCAGGACTGGCAGGATAGACCGCGAAACCCATGCTGATACCCTCATCCTGGACCTGAAGGCTGAAGATTTCCAGTCCCACATCGGCTACGGACAGATGGCTGCAGATCTTCAGCTACAGGCAGCCTCTCTTCCAACAAGCAGCCGCCCTGCGCTTCAGCTGAAAACCGAGCAGAGTCTGGATAACAGAGGGACAGGAGGAGGCTGTGAGGACTGCTCCACACATGGTCAGATCCTTTCTGAAAGCACAGACCGCAGCAATCCTCCACCTTCTGACTCCTGCTCCGTCCCAGACTCCTCCGCACAGCCAGTCGAGTCCTGCGCTCCGACATCCTCATCAGAGGGGGCTCCGGGCAGCCTGCAGGTGGCGCCGTTGGGGGAAACCATGAGTAAGGAGAGGGAGGCCTCGCTGATGTTTGAGGAGGTCGAGACAAGACTGAGAAAGGACGAGACGGAGGACCTGCAGGGTAACCGAGCAGAGGAGGAGGGAACAGAGGAGGAGCAGTGGCCTCAGCTGGGAGCAGAGATCATTGAGCTGAGTGATGAGGAGACCTACATGGAGGAGGACGATGATGATGAAGATGATCTGGTGTATGTGGAGAATGGTGGCACAAGTGACGAGGTAAACATACTTTGTTTGTGAAGCAGGTTGGTTTTTTTCTTCCATTAGGATTAATGTCATAATGATGAGTGAGAATAAATACATAGCTACGATAGATTTTATTAAGAATTTTCTGCACAGCTTTAGATTATTTTATCAATTTAGGCTTCAATTGTCCACTTTATTAAGGACACTTTGTGGTGAGGTAGGTTTAACATAACATGCTGCTGGATGTTGCCATCACTGTCGCGATACACTGGGATCATAAAGGGACGGACATGGTCTGGACCAATACCCTGATAGGCAGTGGGCTTAAAACAATGCTCAGGTTGTGTTGATTGGCTCAAATTGTTGGGAAAAAAATATATACCTAAAGCATCACATGACACGCAATATATTTGCTGCTGAAGATCGTTTACTTTAAGGTATTACTTCAGAGCTGGTGTTCTACATCACCGGGTTTATTAGAGCTTCTATAACCTTTATACCATCTGCCTTTTCTCCAATCGAAGCAAACAAGGCATTTCTATCCTCACAACTACCTTTCACTGGTTTCTGGTCGGGCTCTGAATGCCAGCCACATGGACGTGTGTGAAAATCACAGCAGATCAGTAGTTTCTGAAGCACTCAGTCCAGCCTGTCTGACACTGACAACCATGCAAAGTTACTTACCGTAATTCCTGTTTTTTTCTCTATCTTCAGCCTTTAGTTTCCTAAATGCATCTGGCTGATTTCATATTTGCTTTGACAACCAAACAGAACAGGAGTGCCTAATAAAATGGGCAGATAGCTTTAGCAGAATTCAACCAGCCTCAGGATTTCAGATGAAATCTGATCAAAACAGTCCATTTGTATCAGTTGGTTTCCTCATATAGAACCAGCTGCTGACCTTAGTTTAACCCAAACCAGCTCCTCTAGATACTCAGCATTGGATGTGTTTAATTCTTCCAGCTTCTGCTTAGAACTGTGTTGAACACGTAGTCGAGTCCAAGTTCCAACTATCTGAGCAAAACTGTTGCTCTGAAATGTAAGACTGTAGCTTATGATCGACTCCTTCAGGCTGGACCGAAATTTCCACGCAGAAAAGTTTTATGATCCGACGAGAGGAAGATTGAGACATTTGGCCTAGAGATAGGCAGCCGTGTGAGCCAGTTGAAAAATGTTTTCTTGTGTGTGTTCAGTGATTCATCTGTGTATCCAGCAGCCAAGCTTTGAGATCAGATGAATCTGTTATTTGTGTTGCTGCTTTTGATTTGTTAATGTTTCTTTTCTGTTTTAATTGAGAATTGTGTAACTTTTGTTGTCATTGAGTCATTTTTATCATTTGAATGGAGGAAAAAAAAAAGTAATATCTGTTTTAAAGATCAAACCCCAAAAAAATCAGTTGCGCATACCGAGATCCGTTAGACTGATATTAAAATTAATCTCTTAAATCATTCAATTTACTTCTATAATTTTATTTTTAGCAAATCTTGAAAAGACTTGAAACTTGTTGAAGTCTGAATCTTAATCACATCCACAGCAGAATTCAGAGTTTGAAGACGTCTGACTGGTGTAATTGGTCCACTGAGCACAAATGTTTTTGGTTCCTGCAGGTGAGCAGAAAGACGCTGTCATGTAAAGCCTGTGCAGCGCTGCTCCCCGCAAACCCGCTTGCTGTGAAGAGGCACGCCGAGGGCCACCTGACGGAGCTGGGGCTCTGCAGGCTGTGCGGGGCCTCCTTCCCGGACCGCGTCGCTGCCGTCGCTCACTCCCTCTCCCACGTCAACGTCCAGCTATTCGCCTGTGAAATGTGTCATCAGGAGTTCTGCAGCCAAAGCAAACTGCTGCGTCACCATCACCAGACGGCCTCCACCTACAGCATACCCCAGGGGGCGCTGGTCTGCAACAGCCAAGGTCTGGGCTCTGAGCTGAGGTGTGCGGTGTGTACCAAAACCCTCAGCAAAGACTTCCAGGTAAATGTGGTTTTACTGCTTAGTTTAGCTTAACTATGCCCACTTTGAATCAAGCTGCACAGACTAAAATATATATATATATATATATATATATATATATCCCTTCATTAATTTTCTCCAAAAGATGATGGACAATCTTTAAGAGAAATATGTCAACAGGTTTGGCCAAGAGGAAGCAGACGCCTTACCTTTGTAGCAGACGGCTTATTGTCTGAGGTTGTTTCTCAGTCTAATTACCAGGATGCATGTGATCCGAGGCTGTTTTCTCAAAGTGTTTAACGATTTAATGTTTATTGGAAGCTATGGTCCAATCTGGGTGTTCCTCTTTCAAAGTTGTTTCTGGAGCGATGTTTTACTTTTAATTCTGTGAATAATAACGAGAGATGAAGGTTTTATCGTTTTTCTTTTTTGCATTTTTCCCAGACCCTTAGAGACCACCTGCTGAGCCATGTGTGTCTGCAGACCCTGAACTGTGGAGTCTGTCACCTCTCTCAGCTCTCCTTGTGCTCCCTCCTGTGGCACACCCTCTCCCATCTCTCTCTGCCGGTTTTCACCTGCCCACACTGTGCCCGCTGCTTCGTAGAGCGCCCCCTGCTGGATAGGCACATTGCCACTCATGCTGATGAGGCAGCAGCTAAGGAGAGGGAGCGGTTGGCGCTGGGGGCTCAGAAAGCCACGGGAGGAGTGGAGGAGATGCATTGCTTCCTGTGCCCACAGACGTTCCGCTCCTCATCGGCCTTCCAGTACCACCTCAGTCTGCACACTACGGAATCCATGAGCGATGGCGGCGGCTTGGGAGGGCAGGGTTGCTTAGGCAAGCGGAAAGCCGACCAGTCGCTGGAGTGTCCCCCATCTTCCTCTTCCTCATCCCCACGGGACTTGGGGAGCCAGTCCAAGATCAACCTGGGTCTGGGGATGGGCTTCAACATGTCAGAGAAGTTCTTCCAGGGGCAAGCGCACGGTTTTCCCTCTGGGGGCCTTACCAACGGCAGCTCGGATCAGGAAGGTGCAGCCGGCGTTCGCGGGAAGTGGTACCGGTGTCGCTACTGTGGAAAACGCTTCGCCCACTCTGGGGAGTTCACCTACCACCTCCGGATCCACACCGGGGAAAAGCCCTACCAGTGCAAGGTGTGTCTGCGCTTCTTCAGGGGCCGCTCCACCATGATCTGCCACCTGAAGACGCACGCTGGCGCGCTCATGTACCGCTGCACCGTGTGCGGCCTTTACTTCTCCACCCTGAAGCTGGTGTCGTCACACATGGAGCTTCACAAGGACCACCTGCCGCCTGATTTTAACATCGAGCAGACCTTCATGTACAATGATCACTCCAAAGAGCCGCTCCCAACGGCGGACACCTGAGGGGCTCACCCAATACGCCACTCTATGTCTGGGTACTGAAAGAACTCATCATAAACTACTGCAGCAGCTCAAGACTGCGTTCAGTCTTTATATTGTTCTGCTTCAAATCCTAATCATTTTCAACATGTCTCCATTTATGTTTACGCCGGGAAAAGTAAGGACTTTTGAAACGATGATAAATTGGCAAAATGATTTTTGAGCAATTAATCATTTTGGTAATAAATTAAAATAATTTCTAATTGGATCTTATGTTCATAATACAAATATTTTGACAGCAAAATGATGTAAAACACACAACATTCAGAAATAATAAGATATAATCAGAGACACTACATTGTTTGGTTATGTTCTGTACATGTGTTCTGTGGGATGTTTTTTTTTTTTTTTAGAAAAGTTGCATTTTTTAATAACTAGTGGAGGTTTAAAGCCGTCAGATGCATCCAGAATATCTAATTTCTCATGTGCCTGTAAAAGAGAAACACATTTTTTATATTTATGGTAACAAATCACTGAGCTCTATGTAAGAGTTAGATTTTTTGGTTTAACTGGTGAACATGTGACCTTCCAGAAAGCCAATCAGGTTCAACTTGGAGGTTTTATCTCAGATGGTGGTAACATCCTGCTGAACGGGAAGCTGTTGTTACCAGACATCTACTCTAACATTAATCTCTACTTTATAAAAGTTGGGTTTTAATTAACCTGATGACACTGTCCTCAGTGTAGCGTCACCCTGTAGCATCCATGGTGAATGGTTTCACATTATTCGTGTTATGGTGCAACATGCTGTTGTAAAATTCTTTAAACGTCAGAGTAAACATGAGAGAATGTCTTTCTTATATATTTTTCTGACTTTGCAGGATGAAAGCCGTTATTTACCTGCTAGTTGCACCTTTTGTAACACTGAACCTGTTTATATTGTAGGGCTGTCATGTTGAAGTGCCCGTGAACACGTTGCTGTGGGATACACTTGTCTTAACTTATATTTATAACTATTTATTGTTTTTATGTCTTTGTATCTTTCCATATCATTATGAAAATAAATGAACTGCCTCTAGGAATGCACATTTCCTCTAACTGATTTCCTGCATGATTAAATCCAGTCAGTCATTAAAAATGAACTTCTGTAAACTTGTGCTTAAAGTCAGTCTCTCCTGCCATCTGCCCTAAAGCTAGATGCTTTCCTGCTATTATGCCAAACATGAACTGATGACCCCCCCTTCCTCTTGTTTTGAAGTTATGATATATTCAATGCTAACCCCAGTAGGGATGGCAAACACATTGTTTAATCAAACAATATTCAGACTCATTGTTCTGTGAACACTAGCCCAACTGGTTATGTCTTAGAACAACAAGTAAAGTTGTGAACCGAGCTCAAATCATGATCAAACGGATGACTCTGCTCATATATGGAATAATTTCACCTTCCATTCAAATTGTAACAATTTGACAGAAATTTTTCAACTCCAAGTCGAACATATTTCAGTTAAAAACTCGACTGTACTTGTGAAACTCAGCTAAAGAAAGACAAATGTTTGGAAACCATAATCGATCAAATTAACCAGTTCTATCATAGTTCAGTATAGATTTTATGTTTCAGAACCAAAGTTTATCTTGAATTTGTATTGTGGTCAAATCAGCTATTTAATTATTTAGAGCTATTAGAATGTTTTCAAACCAATTTATAATACAAAAGGTAAATAAAACACTATTTGGCAAAATGGTCTTTAGTTAAATGGTTTGCTTAATCAAAAACCAATAAAATTCAGTTATTTTAACATTGATTGAGCTAATAGCTAGCAGACATGAGGGGATTCATCTTAAAATGACCTTTTTGGTCATATTTTGGTAATCAAATAAGATGAGGAAACACATGGAGGTTAATGTTAGTGTTTAAACCCTTACTGAAATAAAGCTTGTTATAGCTTTAGAAACAACAGCTCAAAGTATGTTTAACGAACGGCTTTTTCTGTGGCATTTCTATTTTTTTAGATCAAAGTCTAAAATTAACTGAGTGCTTCTGTGAGTTGTCTCTTCTGTCATGTAGGTAGCTACTAGGTACACAGTAAATAGCGACCATCAGTAATATTGCTTGTGACAGATCCAGTGATGTTGTCTCTTTTCCTATCTGTGGTTTAATGCAATAAAATATAAAGGTTAATTTAAAGCCATATTCAACCATATTAGAATTTAGAAATCTTATCTAGTGTGCTCAAAGGAACCTAAAACAGCCTTCATGTTATTAGATAAACCCAAAATTTTAGATAAATGCTGAAAATGTGATCTTCAGAGACGACAATGGTCTGTGAATTTTTTATTCTGATTAATTTTGATTTAATTAATGGTAATGTTTCCATTGCTTTTGTAAGACTCATAATTTTTTAACGAACCAGAGTTCGTTACTAACATCATCAGAGGACTGTTGAATATTGATTCCATGATTCTCAGATTTTTGCCACTGAGCTTTTGGTTTTTCCTTCCACTTTTATATCCTGCTTATGAACAGACATTAATGGATTTCTTTGGAGATCCACAAGGGTGGCTTTAAGGTGCTTGTAAAATGGTTCCTTATCGGATAATTTTTAGGTTTAATTTTTGCCATTCATATATGATATTACCTACCTGTTATAGTAGATGTGTTATAAAGTTTTCCATCCAAGTTTTAATATCAATCAATAAGGTATAGAGGCTGATTCACAGACAGAGATAAACAATTTTAACAGAGAAGTGATGATTTGGATTGTCCTTGATCTAGAATGCTGCATATTTTCTAGTTATGGCTGCAGCAAATGAATGTCTCACTAATTACAAACAGAGCAGCAGGGTGAGGATGTGCAGATTTATAAAAATCCGTACATGGCACATGCACGCTAACCACTGTGTCCCCTGCACGCCCATAAAAGGCTTCTTTAACTGTTATTCAACGCTGCTTTTGTTCCTGACAATGAAAGCCGTATGTAACCTGAGCCCTTTCTCTGGTCTGAGTAAAATTAAATTCTCTTAACCCTGCGATCTTGTTTTATATACATTTAATATATATACTTCGGAAAAGGGTTATTTAAAATGTTTGTTCCCAGTGATCTTTTTCAGGAAAGAATTGGGGAGAGAAAGCTCAAAGATGTAATAGCTTTCCTTTACATATAAAAAAAATTGAATCGTACAATAATGGCTGAAATTTGTGAAAACATTTTAAAAGTTGAATGGTGTTTGTAGCTGAAAATATGCAGCAGTAGTTAAATGGCAAAAACATTGAAGTTTTAGCAGAATTTAAGTTTCCCATTCATTTAAATTAGGGCCAACAAGTAGAAAAAGCTCAAGATTTGAAATACCTAAAGTCCCACCTGGAATCTCCTGAAACTGCTGAATATGAAATGGGAGAAAAAACACAAAGTATGAAGAAGTAGTAGCAGATAAAAGAAAAGTGTACAGAAGTACTCACAATAAAAAGAAACATATATATATATAAGGAGAAACGGTTTCTCAATAGGGTGAATGGTTTACAGATCATTTCAACCATTTTATTACCAACAAAGCTTTGATATTTTGATTTTGACTTTTGACCTAAAAATGCACAAAGATCCTCTCTGTTGGTGAGCCATCTTTCCTTAATGGCCTTCTGCGTGTTTGCTTGCAGAGAAAAGATATAAAGGACGGACAGGAAAGAACAATACCAGGAAGTTGCGGCAGGCAGAGTGCATCAGCCTGGCCTTTATCAGCCTGCCTGGGACAGAAAGGGGGTCTTTAACGTAAATATCCTCCTCACCTTGTTGATTAACAATTATCGCTGCAGTTTGGACTCACTTCAGGTACTAACAGATGAGAGAACCAGTTTACCGACTGCCATCTATGGTTTCTGATCAAATGATGCTGAACATTTTGCAGCAGCTTCTTATGACTGAGAGATTTCTACTTCCATGAGGGCCAGCTGGTTAAAACTGATCTCAGCATCCCATGGAGATAAAACATGAACATTTGTGTTGGCTGAGTTCCATTCTGATTAACAGGACAAGGTTGTGGGGGTCCAGGGTTCTCACCGGCTGTACAGATCAGCAGCGGCTGGCAGCTGACCCCTCCAAGAGCTACCCCGAGTCCGTTCCACGGCTCATCCTGTCTAAATGCCATTGCCCAACTCTAATCGTTTCTCTGCTGAAAGTATTTGGAACCCGTCAGCAGATCTGCTGAAGCAGGAAGAAAGAGAGAAACTGGTACCAACAACCTTTATGAGAGATTAGGAGGAAACCTTTACTACAGTAAGAACCATACATTTTTAGTAGAGGAACAGAAGAGAAACGTTAACCTGTTAAAATGGATTTGGGATAAATAAGGGGGAAGAGTGAGCCAAGTTGTCTCGTGCAACATCAGTAACTACATTTTCATTACAAATGTATGCGAAACTATGTCAATATTCTACCAAATTCAAGTTTCATATTTTCATTATTTCCACTAAATAGCAAATGCAAATAAACTTGTACGTGAATATTGTTGAATGTTAACACATGAGATATATCAATATTTCAGGGGCAGGAGCCAAGTTGGCTGCCGAGTAGTTCTAACTCATCTGAACTCTTGGAAAAATTATTCTCCAGAACTAAATGGGGAAATTAGATGTGATTTTCTAATGGTGCATAACGTTCAGCAGGGGTGTTAACAATAAAAAAATACATGGGTAAACAATAAATACATAAGAATGCAAATACAAACAGAAACATCCAGAATAAAACAAAATCGAAATAAAACAAATGAAATCTCAAAAAGAAAACTTAAACAGAACCAAAACCAAATAAAGGGCACATATAGCACGTCCTCACCCACTGTAGAAGGCCCTTTAGCCCATGTTTTGGCCCCTGAGAGGGCGCTTTACTCTGCTTTTTTTCTTTTTTACAAATGGCACAACTTTGGCCATCCCCTATGCACGTCACTGCAAGTAGGAAAAATACTAAGAACTTATCATTGCTTTTAAACATATATAATTTGTATAACCCCAAGTTTTTTTGTATTACGGTACTCAAACTTTATTTTCTTTTTCTCAGTTTTAAATAGCTTTGTTCTGCATATCAGTTAGATGTATGCCTTATTCTGTACTTAAAATTTCAATAGAAAAGAAAAAAAAAACTAAAAGAAGTATCCACGGCTCTAGTGGACGCCATCATCCTCCAACTACTTCCAGTCTTCATCTTTGTCTTTTTATAAGGCAATAAGGTCCAGCTGCAGATAATCTGACTTGTTGGATGCAACAACTTTTTCAATTGTTTTTTAAAAACCATCTCACAGAAGCATAAAAACACTTTGTCGAAGTGTTTTCATGTAGATAATTATTTTTGTAATTACAATTTGCACAGTTTGATGGAAATGCATGAAGTGTCTTGTATCTGAATAAAGCTTCTAGGACAGCAGATAAAAACAGAAATACAAGTCCACTGCTTACCAAACACTTATGTCAAGCACGGTGGAGGTGGGCGGATGATTGGGGCTTGTTTTGCTACACATGATCAAATAATTCCCGTTGTCATGGCAACCCCCAAGCGTCCCTCAAAATTTAAAAGCCAAAGAAATACTGCTCTGTTAGGATATTTAGAGAACGAGCCTTCATACAGAACATCGCTACAGCTGGTTTCAAAGATTTCCTGATGGTCCATAAAGGCTCCTGGTTAAATGATTATAAAACTGCAGGAAAAAAATGAAAGGATCACAGTGTTTCACTGGAGAGGATAGACTGCCCTCTAGTGATATTATCTGCAAATGTCATAGTTTTGTATGTCATACATTTTATCTGAAACATGCAGATAAACAAACTTTGGTGGCTGACAAAATGTAACCAGGGGCTTTATTGATATTTAACAGTGTTCAGTACCTGAAGAAATAAAGATTATCTTTAAAATAAAAAATAGGCATCATAATGCATTAAGTTTTGTCTCATCACCTATTTTAGATAATGATTCATGTGTGTTGATCTACAGTTGAAGCTCTCAGCTGGAGGGACTTCTGATCACAGTCCTGGCAGTGTTACGTGAAAATCTTTGAAATTAAGTCTCGAAACAGCTTGGCGTACTGCTCAGGGTGGACTGTGGAGATTTCAGCACCGGCCTGCAGTGGAGATAATGAATTAGCATCAGATGGAAACAGAAGTGGACAGGACCAAAAGGTCTGCTGCTACTCACCCCGTGTTTGACAGTTTTTGCAGCTTGAGCAGCTTTTTTCTCAGTGTCGTACTGTGTCAGAACGTCTATCAGTAATGGCACCCACAGTCAGACTTCCCCTTTGGGCCAACTGTTGAAAAAAGCATGCTAAAGTGCCCTTTTTGATGTTGCTGCCTATTTTAACATTCTCAGACTTCCAGTTGTCACTTGGGCAGCTTCTTAGAGCATAAACATCCACGTAGGGATCAAATTCCCCCAGCCCCAGGGGCTTGCAGAAGGATATGTAACGCTTTAAGGTAGGTGCCATGAAAGCCAACAGTGGAGCCCGAGGGCAGACCGTTCTCAAAATAAATAAAAACTACTGCCTCTTGGAATTTCTTTTCTCTGATTTATGGCATTGTACAGTGTTCTGCACGATGAATCCAACCCATCATAAAAATTTTGCTGATGCTCTTGTGGAAAAATGCTGCTTAAAACCGGTCTCTCTTGACACTGGGCCTTTAGAACTAGGTCCTTTCCTGCTATTGTACCAAACATGAACTGATGACCCCTTTCCGCTCTTTCCTGCTTTCTTATCTAAACTCAAGGATCATTCCAGAAATGTAGGTAAATGTTAGAAAGATCAGTAGCATGAATTGTAAAATAAACACTGACATGTTTAGTGACTTTGATGCATCCAATAGCATTGTATAGAGGCACATATACATATTCTTTCTGTAATCAGTTTTTTGATAAGATCAAGTAATCCCTAAATTACCCTTTTGACAAAAAAAAAAAAATAGTTTAAAAAGTTTTATACTTCCTAAACCCAACTTTGTGTGCTTGAAAAGCCATTACCACTTACCTGTAACAGGTGTGGGCTATTAGCCGTGCATTTGAGCTTTTACAAATGACATGCATAATGTAAGCATAAGTGGATCAGGTAAACCATCTCTTTTATAGGTTCTCCCCTTGATCAAGTGTTCCTGGATAGGAGACAACTGGAAAAATAATATAACTAGGAATCAATTACAAAACTAAAGATTTCTAAGTGCTCAAAGTAGAGACTATCACAGATCCTTTCTTCCTGACTATTGGAACATACCATTTTCCAACAGAGTTTGACCTCAGAGGAGGACATTTTAACTGGAACGCTCCAAAAGGTGCAGCATAGATTATGGAGGACCGAGAGAGTCACAGAAAAAAAGAAAAACTGCCTTTTAAAAAGTAACATTTAAATCATACAATTTAAAATGCAATTTGAAAAACTTATTTTAATTTTACATTTTATTTTGAATTATTAAATATGAATTGCAAATTGTATTAATTAATCCATTATTATATACTGCAATGAAAAAAAAATTCAAATCCCATAAATGGAGATTTAAAAACCAAAGTACATAAATTTGCTAATAAACGCCTTTCCTAATCACACATTTGAAAAGATATTATATTTTATCCATATGTACACACTATTATTATTTTACCTTGCATTTTCATTTTTTTTTATTGCATTTTCCTTTTACCTTTTCCATGACCCTTCTGGTCCCCAAACGCTAAAAAACCAGTTAAACCAATTCCAATTGCCCCTGAGACGTAACCAGCTCTCTCATTCGTTAGGCTGCCACATTTGGTCCACAAAATTACCAATGAGGGAGCCGGTTAATCTAACAAGCAACTGTGATTGGTTTGACGGATTTTTAGATGAAGAGTCACAGCCAAGGTTAGTGCAAAAAGTATTTGAAAATGCAAGGTGAAAAAGAATAGAATAACTAACTGATTTTAACTTTAAAATGTGTGATTAGGAAAGGTTTTTAAATAATCATATTTTGGTTATTAAATTTATTTAGAAATAGGATTTTAAAATACATTATTAAATTGCAGTATTTAATAATGGACTAATAAATACAATTTACAATTCCTTTTTAATATTACAATTTAAAATGATCAAGTAGAAAACACTTTTCAACTTTGATTAAAATGTTACATAAAAAAAAAAATGTTTTTCTTTTCCAATGACTCTACCAGTCCCCTGTATGTTTTACCAATTGAAAATCAGCATTTTCTTATCTATTGCAAACAAGTGTCTACGGACACCATCTTATAGATAACATTAATTGCAATTAAATGTTTGCTGATATGGAAACATTGGCATGTGACTCTCCTGGTCCTCCACAAAACCTGCAATCCACAAGGAATGGACATTGTCTTGTAAAATCTTTTCATAATTAAAAGCACTCAAAAAGCAATGACCAACATAATAATTAACCCTTTAATGCAAAGCTTATAGATTTAACGTAAATTTTATTATTTTGCAGGTTTACTGTAAACTAGGTCTAATAATAGTAATGGATATGATTGTGATTTGAAAAATTCAATTGTTCAGTCTTCCATTTCATTCTTCCATTCACTTTAAGCTAACAGAACCTTTTCATGACAATACCTCACTTTAAGTTTATTTTCAAGACGTTTTTGGAGTCTCAAAGTTTAAAAGAATCCTTTTTTGGACTATTTGCGGTAAAACCAACATTTTGCAATTTGATTAGACACAGGCACTGTTTAAAGTTTTTTTATTCAGTATGCACAGATACTACGACAGAAATGCGATGTATGCCTTGATTTGATCTTAAAATAACGAGCTGTATTCCAATGTTTGCAACTATAGAAGTCCATAAGGGCTGGACGTGTGCAGATGTTTGTCTACACACATTCCTGGCGTGGCACTATTCCTCCCCTTTGTTAGAAGATTACAGTCATTGGCCAAAGGTCCTGTGGGAGCTGAGCAGCTTTGGAGAAAAAAAAACAAATATTGCCCGCCTTGCTCCACTAAAACCTCATGATATTATGCAGGAAAAATAAGCAGTAGGTGGGATATAGGAGGAAGTTGTGCCCATTAGAGACCTAGTCTGAAGTGCACAGCTAAATATTTCTTTTTCTCTAGATTTTACTGAAACGAACAAAATGTCTTCTTCCTGACAAGAATCCAAAGTTCTTTTTATGACCCAACATCAGACTGGCTGGTGCTTGCGTTACTCATCTTGCGCTGCTTACCCGGGTCCTCTCTGCCCCCATTGGTGTTGGGCTTTGCCCCCACTTCCATCTGCTCTGCTGCTTCCTCCCTTGGGATGTGACTTATCACAGTGTTGATCAAATTGCGGCGAAAGCTCTTGCTGAGGAAATTGTAGAGGAGAGGATTTGCGACACAGTGGAAAAGAGCGATACCCTGCACCACAATGTAGGAGAAGTAAAGGAACTCCACCGTGTTACAGCTGAACAAAAAGGGGTCAAGGTCGTCTATGATCATAAGCAACGTAACCAAGTGGTAAGGAAGCCAGCACACCACGAACACCAGGGAGTACACATGGACCAACCACACGTCCCGCCGCCCCTCCACATCCGGGGCTGTTCTAACAGCACGGGCGATCAGCACGTTGCAAGTAATGATAATGGCAGCTGGGCCCACAAATTGGAAGATCGTACAGAGGAAGGCGACAGACACAAACCACTCGGTGTAGCTGTGCTCAGGCATCATGTAGCAGCCCGGCTCGTCCCACTCTAGGAGATTCACATGAACGTTCTCCAACAGGGCCAAAAACAAGGAAAACACCCACAGGGCTCCACAGATCAGCCAGCGCTGCCGGCCCATCACTGGGAGGAGGGTCGGCAGCGACGGTCTGGTCAGGGACAGGTAACGCTCCAGGGTCATGAAGGCCAGGAAGAAGGAGCTGCTGTAGAAGTTGATCACATAGATGAGGTTGGTAACCTTGCAGAGGAAACCTCCCCATAGCCAAACCTTGTCTAAAGTCACCTCCAGCATGAAGAAAGGCAGGATCACAATCACCATCAGGTCCGACAGGCTCACATTAATGATGCAGAAGAGCACGCCATTGGCTGAGTGACGCCGGCGCCAGTTAACCCAGATGACCAGCAGGTTTTCCAGCAGGCCCACCATGAAGATGAACAGGTAGATCAGGAAGAGGGCGATGCGCCTGTAGTTGGTATCCAGATCGAGGGTGCACTCGTATATGAACCATGGCGATCCGTTATAGAAGCCCAGAGAGTGATTGTGGTTAAGAGTCATGATCTGAAAAGGAGGGCAGAGAAAAAATGCTTCATATCTGGACAGAGTTTAGTCTTACTTTGGGGTTAATCTGATTAAATGTTCAGACATTACACAACGCTGCACAGGAGGTGGAGGAGAAATGTAGAGGTGCTACAGCAGTACAGCCAGAGCAGTCATTCATAACTTTGACCTAAACATTCACACAGCTTCTCTAAAGTATTCACCCCCTCCAACTTTGTCGCATTCACACATTAAAACCACAAACTTTATAAAACATTACAAGAAAGACTGCATACTTCAAAACAGATGATTCAAGTGCAGCATTTGTGTTCAGCCCTCTTTACTCTGAAAACCTGTAATAAAATTCTGTCCTTTTAGAAGCAACCTAATCAGCAGACAAATTTAAGGAATGTTTAAAGAAAATTTAGCTTTAAAAGAATATCCTAAGCTTTGAAAATCTCACAGAGCTCCATTCAGTCCATAATCTAAGAATGTAGGGAACATCATCTAAAAATTAAACTTTAAACCCACTGTTCAGCTAAATAGACAGAGGCAACTGTTTAAATCTGGAAGGGTTGCAAAGATCAAAGAAGGTTTAGAGGGCAACTGCAGGTCATCTGCTTTAAAAATCTTACTACATGGAGCAAAACCATATCCTAGAGTCCTATGAATGTGTGGAAAACAAAAAGTTGGTGCTTTAGAGATGTTTTTCTTCCGGAGGCTCTGGGAAGGGGGTATTGGAAGGTCAATGAAAACGTAAGGTAATCAATGACACAAACAGTCAGAGCAGATTTGGAAATTGTTTAGATCTTAGCATATATTCATGTGTTCAGGTGATCTAGTCAAAGTCCAGGCCTATTTAAAATTGCAAAAAATCCTCTTAAGTTAAACGCGCTCTATTTTATAACGAACATAAAACATCTCTAGACGTGCAAATGCGGTAGACATTTGCAGCTGTGGTTCATTAACGTTTTGAATGAGGCTGATTCCTAGTTACTAATTCAATCATGACTCGAAAAAGTACGTTATTTTTAGGTGTAACTTAACACTGAAATACTGAATACTGAGAACCAAATTAGAATGGAAAAATCACAGTTTCTTTCATTATCTTGTTCACATAAAAAAATACATATTAGAAATAAAATGCATTAATATGATCTACTATTAATGAAATGCTGTTTTGGCAAATTGAGCAAAACCTGAATTTCCTAATCAGATATAACCTAGCACCTTTGGAAGAATTTATAAATCACCCTCAGATCCCAACATTTCCAACTACATCCTACCTTGCTGTGGAAGCTGGGTTGCTGGATTTAAGCAGGAGAAAATCTGCTTGAATCCTTTTCCGTATGCAGGTTTGTTTTCTCACCCCCGAATGAAGCATGCACGAAGGAGACGTCTCCTTCCAGCTCTGATGCTGTGGACTATCTGAGGGATCAAGCTGACAGAAGTCTCTTCCCTCCCACTTCCCCTGAACAAACACACACAGATATCTGACAGGACATCCTTAGTGATGAGAAGTGAGACTAAAGATATGATAATTAGGCTTTCCTCTTAATTTTAATGATTTCAGAGGAACTACGGTGCATAAGAGTATCGCAATCCCTTACATTATGCTCCAATTTTTTTTAGCAATTATGTCCTTCCTCAATGTTTTGCGTGACAATGTTTTGCATGACAATGTTTTGCGTGACAATGTTTTGCATGACAATGTTACCAAACAAGAAGTTAAGACAAAGAAGTTAAGAAATCTGAGCTTTTGCAGCTTGATGGGAAGCATCCACCCATCAGAAAAGCTAATCCAAGATTTTTTGGTAGACAGACACACATCCAAGTCATGATTGCTTCTGCAGAGCTTTCTGCATAAGAAAAATAATAATATATGTAAATGTAAAGGGGTTGAACTAGGGGTTTTTAAAAAGCCAGGAGAATTGATTGTTATGTACAAGAAAAAGTGAACTTGATCATCATTACTGCACTGAAAAAAAAATAAATGAAAGGTTGCGAAACATTTTACTACAAATGTTAAAACCTGCTGGTGAAAAATATTCAATTTTACACTCAGGTACTTTAAAAACACTGCATATTAACTTCCAGAGCGAAAAAGGAGGAAGGGCCATAAATATTTTGCACAATCTATACAAATTCTGCAAACAAGACACAACTGCAGTTCTGGGAGGGATTAGCAACGAGGAAAAGCCTCACTGACTGAAAGGCATCCTTTTCCATCATCAGTGAATGCATGTAGTGTAAAGCACTTTAGTCAAGTCCTCTGACTTGAAAAGGCGTTATATAAGTACAGGTCATTTACCATTGATAGTAAAAATTGAGTAACTGAGAGATTTTTCTAATTGACTTGCTTAGGAAACACAAATCTGGGAAAAAAAAAATCTTAAAATCTTTTAATAAAAAAAACTTGAAGAATTATAAAAGATACAAAAAAACTGAATCATACAATAATAGCTGAAAGTTGTGAAAAACTTTTAAAAGTTGAATGATAGTTTTAGCTTAAAGTATGCAGAAGTCGTTATGCAGAAGTAGCAGGCATTGAAGTTTTAGAGAAATCTTTGAAGTTTTCCTTTCACTTCAATGACATACAAAAAGCAGAATACATTTGAAAAATAGTTCTTTGCAAAAATAATAAAAAGTCTCTACCTGGACCAAAAGTCCCACATGGAATGCAGCTAATAAGCAGCTAAAAATTCAATGGAAGAAATGCAGAAGGAGTAGCAAATCAAAAAATGTACAGAAACACCAAGAGTAAGAAGAAAAATACATAAAGGGAAACAGGTTCTTAATGGTGTGAATGCTAGACAATTTCAACCATTTGGTTTCCACCCATACCATGAACTTTTACTTTTGACCTGCTATAAAAGAGAGAGAGAAAGATCCTCTCTCTTGGTGAGCCATCTTTCCTTAATGGCCTTCTGCGTGTTTGCTTGCAGAGAAGAGACATTAAGGACTGACAGGAAAGAACAATACCAGGAAGTTGTGGCAGGCAGAGTGCATCAGCCTGGCCTTTATCAGCCTGCCTGGGACAGAAAGGGGGTCTTTAACCTAAATATCCTCCTTGTTAATCTGTTAAACAAGCTGCCGTTTGGACTCACATCAGATACTAACAGATGAGAGAACCAGTTTACCGACTGCCATCCGTGGTTTCCCCTCTGATCAAATGATGCTGAACATTTATCAGCAGCTTCTTATGACTGAGAGATTTCTACTTCCATGAGGGCCAGCTGGTTAAAACTGATCTCAGCATCCCATGGAGATAAAACATGAACATTTGTGTTGGCTGAGTTCCATTCTGATTAACAGGACGGGGCTGTGGGGGTCCGGGGTTCTCACCGGCTGTACAGATCAGCAGCGGCTGGCAGCTGACCTCTCCAAGAGCTACCCCACGTCCGCTCCACGGCTCATCCTGTCTAAATGCCATTGCCCAACTCTAATCGTTTCTCTGCTGAAACTATTTGGAACCTGTCAGCAGATCTGCTGAAGCAGGAAGGAAACGGTCAGCAGAAACTTTTTTCCAACAACCTTGTTGAGAGATTCAGAGGAAACCCTCTCAAGTCAGGTGAAAGACGACTGCTGAGAAGCAAAACCATAAACCTGCTTTATCATTTCCAAATCCAGATTTATATTTTAACAAACTGAATTGATGAAGATCAAGAAAGGAGCACCTGCTCCAAAATCAACACTTCAGGTTTTCCTCTTTCTTTAATCTATTGTTCTACCACATTGGTAATTCTGGGGCAAAATATAAACAGTCAAAAGTTGTCTTCTTTCCCTCTTATAAACCAGCAAAGAAGCAGTCATAAGAAACAAAAGGTGCGCCCCATGTGTTTCCCAAAATTCCCATAATTGGAATTATTGATGATCCACATCGAGTTAAAAAAAAATACATAAGTAAAACTTGTGATATGTCATCACCTGGCCAAGACTCTGAGGAAAACCCAAACTCCATCAGGTGAAAGATAAACTGATTAGGAATGATTAACTGGAAACTGCTGCAACATTAATTCCACCATCTGGAGCAGGAATCAGTTACCTCTGCATGTCAAAGAGCTGCTTCCATATTCACTTTTAAAACCATCAGAGGTGTGTATCCTTACACTTTATTCAAAAATGATTGCTCATCCAGTTTAGCAAATATTTAAGAACTGTTCTTTGGAAAAACATAAAGCTTTTTCTGCAAGAAAATTAATTCAAGTATTACTCTTATGGAGAATTCAGAAATAAACAAAAACAATTCCACCACCAACAATCTTTGTGGATATTTTGGGCAGACACTGCATAAAATAACAACAAAAAAAAAAACACCTCAAAGGACTGTTAAATCCACCTTTTTTTTTTTTTTTTACATCCATGAGGGTGCTTACCAAGAAAGAAGAACCTGATCTTTAATTACATTTTTTTTTTCATTTCCTCATAAAACCTTTTCTGTGGAATACTTATAGAAGAGATATTTGGACACAATGAGGATGACTAAAGCTGAGTGTACACACACGCTGGCAAAATTTCTTATGTTCTGATCATTTTCCTAAAAACATACATGATAATATAGTGCAGAGAAACCCCAAAACAAAACCATAACAGTATGTTTAGCATAAAAGTGAGCCATTTACAATGTAAAGCATAGCAGTGGAAGCATCATGCTAAGGGTAAGTTAAGGCACCATTGGTACTGGTACTTCCCACTGTTCAACTTTACTAAAAATCCATAGATACAGTTTTAAGTTTGGACACAGTTGGGCCACAGGATCACTGATCCAGACTAGATCAGACTTGAGGTGCGAATAAAACTTGTTAAAAGATCTTTAACCAAACATGACCTGACTGCAATGTTGTGCAGACACATTGCAGTCAGATGTTCTGACTCCTAAGGCATCAGTGTTTTCACTACTTTAGACATTTCAGACAATATCAGGCTGGTTACTTTGAAGGATCGGCCTCCTCCAAAGTCTATTTTATTCTTGAAAATCGAAACACAAAATGATTTTAAAGACATCGGTCTTCAGGAAGAAAAATTCCAATGTGTTTTGGCATAAGGCATTTTTAGCAGAAACCAAGTCAAAATGCAGGAGCAGTTTGTGAAAAAGTGTCATCTGCTGAGTAAGCACTTCAGTAAAAAGCAAAAGACATGGAAGTTTATGTGGTCTCAATCATTCCAAAATTGGGTAAAAGCTTCCAATGCTTCATAGACAAAGATCTTGGTAAGTCTTGGTACAAGTTAGTTTTAGATGTCAGAAGTCTTTAACTGTGAAAAGGTAGCCATTTGCTTAATAAGGAGGAAACGGCATATTCGGTCTGAGGAGAATATGGATAAAAAACCTAGTTGTGCAAAGTTGAATCTGGAAAAAAAAAGCTTCCAGAACAGCAGATAAAAACAAAAATACAAATCCACTGCTTACCAATGACACGTGTCAAGCACGGTGGAGGTGGACAGATGATTGGGGCTCGTTTTGCTACCACATGATCTAGGAGTCCCTGTTGTTATGACAACCCTCCCAAGCACCCCTAAAAAGTTTAAAGGCAAACAACTACTGCTCTGTAAGGATTTTTAGATAACATTTGTACAGAACATGAAAGCATACAGCTGATTTCAATGTTTTCCTGATGGTCCATAAATGCTCCTGGTAAAATGTTTAGAGAACTGCAGAAAAAGAATGAAAAGATCAGTGTTCCACTGCAGAGGATAGACTGCCCTCTATTGATATTAACTGCAAATGGCATACATTTTATCTGAAACAAGCAGATAAACTTTGTCAGCTGAAAAAATGTAATCAGTTGCTCTATTGATATTGTTGCATCAGTTTGCTTTATTCTGCAAGTTTAAATGCTTATTCAAACAGGATAGAGCACATATTTATCTCTAAACATAAAGGAAACAAAAATACAGTATTTTCTACATGTCAAAAACAATGACAATTCTTTAATGTCAAAACATCAGACGAAATAAAAGCAAAGGCCAAGTTTAGACCGTCCCCCCCCCAAAAATACTTTTATTATATGTTAATGTCAACACTTGCACATTTTTATTAGTTTACAAAGTACATGGAAAAAACAAGGAAACCAAAATATCCAGACCCATAAAGATGAAGGGAAAATGAAATAAACCAAAACAAAAACCAAACAGAAAAAATAAAAATCACATTAAACGGGCAAATTTATTGGATAAATGAGTAAAGATGTCAGAGGAAAAGTTTGACAACTATGATGTACAGAATTCCTCTTTCTGGGCATGATGAACATTTAAAAAGTTGAGGTATTTCTAAGACTGTCACACAAAGACAGACGGGTCTCTTAAAAACCGTTCTGCAATCCTAGCAGATCCAGGACTTTTCTCTGGTCTCATTAATCGAACATTTTCAAGGAAATAAACAAGTTCCAGAAAACCTTTGCAAAATATAATTTGGTCCAAAAGCTTATTTGCAAAACGCATCATGTGCTACGACTGATTAGACAAGGCATCATACAAAGTTACTGCATTCATTTTGCCTCATCTGCTTTCAGGAATGCTGAATTATCTCCTAGTGTTAAGGCCGAGCTGCTAGAATGTAGAGCGACTGTCTGGAAAGTGCTGCCTAATTTTAACCCTAAATGTCATTAACTAAACTTACATCCTAGTCCTGTTGTTATATCTTTAATTCTTATATTGCAATAATACAAATATCACACATTTGCCACTGAAATGCAAAAGAAACGCTACACTGTTAGAAACAGAATCCAGTCAAAACCACGATGGATGTGGTCAAAGGCAGAACTGATTGCCCAATATTTGGACCCGCCTCCTAATAATCGCAGCTCTTATATTGGCTAAAGCAGGCAGGGTTGGAAGACATGTTCACTGGCTTAGATATGATTTCTTAGGTTCCATCAAGGCTTCTTGGAAATATGCAAAATATAAAATAAAATATTTGATCCTTCAACCGAAACTCCCTCCCCCTGATTAACTGTAGGCAAAGTGCAAAGATCTGCTCTGATAAAGCTTTTGGCCCACTTGTTTGGCAATCTACTAACTACAGACTCCATGGATCTTATTCCAACTGTTTGCGAAGAGAAAAAAAAAAACATTTATTATAAATCTAAAAAGTTAGGAAATAATTTGGGAAAAATGCTCCTCCACTGCAGAACTCCTCTGCTTTACACATCAAAGTTACAGTAAATGTTTAGCTTTGCATAAAGACTGGAAGCAGGGAGCAGCTCAGCTCTTTCTATAATCAACCATATCAGAGCATCTCAGGATTATTTGTTTGGCAGGTTTATGGAGATATCAACCTAAATCTAACCTCTGTTTAATACTAAGAGTACATTTTCTTCCAGGTAAGTTGTTGGTATAAACCCCATGTTTGCTTCAGCTGTCAGAAATTACCTTCAGTTTCACACAAATTTTAAACAACAACCGATCCCAACTTTAAATATTAATCTAGAGCTGTCATTTAGAGAGTACTGTTCCTTTAAAACAGAGCTAGCTCCTTTTCACTAATCTAAATTCATCCTAATATGTATAGTGTTTTTACATCCACATTGTAAGTTTAATGTCCTCAACCTATTTAACAGTGTTCAATACCTAAAGAAATAAAGATTATCTTTAAAATAAATATATGCATCATAATGCAGCAAGTTTTGTCTCATCACCTATTTTAGATAATGATTCATGTGTGCAGCCTATAGTTGATCTACAGTTGAAGCTCTCAGCTGGAGGGACTTCGGATCACGGTGCCAGCAGTGTTACGCAAAAATCTTTGAGATGAAGTCTCGAAATCGCTTGGCGTACTGCTCAGGGTGGACTGTGGAGATTTCAGCACCGGCCTGCAGTGGAGAGAATGAATTAGCATCAGATGGAAACAGAAGTGGACAGGACCTAAAGGTCTGCTGCTACTCACCCCGTGTTTGACAGTTTTTGCAGCATGAGCAGCTTTCTTCTTGGTGTCGTACTGTGTCAGAACGTCTATCAGGCCCATGAAGTAGACCTCCCTCTGTGGGGCTCCTGAGATTAGAACGCAGAAAAATTCAGCTGGATGGACCATCGCTGCATTTATGTGCACACATGACGTCTCGGTTTTAGAAGACCAAGATGCTAAAACTCATCTATTGACGTTTATTTTACAGCTTTAGAGAAGGAAAAAAGGTGATGATTTATCTGAACTGAGCACCATTCTCAGAATTCCAGTTGTCACCTGGGCAGCTTCGTAGAGCATAAACATCCACGTATGGATCAAATTCCCCCGGCCCCAGGGGCTTGCAGGAAGACATGTAACCAGCGATCCCTTCAGGGGAGGTGCCGTAAGAGCCCACGGCGGGGCCCGGGGCCAGCCCGTTCTCTGCCTCGGGTTCTTCCTCGTTGGAGGCCTCCCCGCTCTCCTCCTCCTCCCGTTCGGCTCGTCCAATGTCATGGATGCCAAGCAATAAGCTGTAGTCCATGATCTTCAGCTTCACCAGGAACTAAAAGAGCAGGGAGAAAAGTTGTCTGCTGAGATAGTTCTGATATGTTAGATTGCAATCCTTATAAAAGTAATTTCAATTGATTCCCATGGAAGTCAGTGATACTCAGCCTTAAGTCACTAAAACAGGGGATTTACCGTTTTGGTGAGGTCTTCTCTAAATATTTCAACCAAAAAAATTATAGTTAATATTCTCTCTTAGCCTCTCTGTAGAAATCTTTTATTTTTATGCTTCTTTTTTGTATAAACCTTACTTGGTTTTAGGGTTATGGAATATTAATGTTTTTATTTTATCTGCAGTTTTCTGAGTTCTACTTTTTATCGTAGTTGTCAAATAATGAGTGGGATAAGTCATTTACTGCCCTCTGTTTGCTCATCGCTTGCATTTTTATTTATTGTTTTAACAGTTTTATGATTTGCTCTATAAATTAAAGTTGACTATTTTGGATAAAATCTAAATTTCACTGCTTACCAAATAAAGAGTTTTAGACCAGACACCCTGCTGCTAAACTGCAGCTAAAGCAGTGGAGAGTTTTTCTCTCAAAGATCAAGATAAGGAATCGGCTTCAGGCACATTTTTAAACTCTCACCTCCACATCTTTGTTGAGTTTCTCCATAAACTTCTCCTTCTCCTCATCTGTAACGTACACCTTCTGCATGTTGTTCCTGAAGTCCATGTCCTTAAAGGTTGGAAGCTCTTTTTCCTTCACATGAAAATAACAAACTTTAGATGATAAATTAAAAAACTACAAGTGGAAGTACAGCAATAATCTAGATGCTAAAAAGTTTGGTTTACCCTTTCTTTGTCACTTGCTTCACGATCCACCAGAGAGCCCTGGGAAAAAACAAAACAAAACAAATATAAAAACAGATCTATTTATCTAATTATAGTATTTGTCTGGAATTTGATATATTCTACAACAAGGATCAAATGCTTTGTCACATGGGAAAAGTCTGACACGTTTAATGCAGAATATAGGACACAAAACAATGTCTAGTACCTATTTATGACTTGTTTATTTGGTAGAATTATTGGTAAATCAATATTGGAACTGCTAACTTATTCAACAACAATAAAACAAATGTTTTTTTTTGTTTTTTTTTACTTCCTTTACTTGATGGATGGCTAACATCCACCAGTTGATGCAGTTCCTCCTCACCTTCAGGTCGTACTTCCTGTGCACCACCAGCCTGTGGCTGAACATGTTCCTCATGACGATCAGGTATGCCTCCTCGCTGTCTACGCTCACCCGGTACATTCCCAGGAACTGTGGCAGCAGCGTGTTGCCGTGACACTTCACGATGTGCTGGAAGCAGAAAGCAGGTTGGGTATTTGCATGATGGGCACAGTCGAACGTTATGCATGCAGATTTGTTTATGATGTTTCTGCTATGATCACGTTTAAACGAGACAAAGAGATTTAAAACTGGAGGGAAAGTCATATTTGAAGCATGAAATATGCTGACAGTGCAGCAAGATCTGCAGAGCAGATCTTTCATTAGTATGTGTCTTCATATAAGCTTCCCACTACAGTTTGCTGGAATTTTGGCCCATTCCTCCTCACAGAAAGATCGTGAAAAAATCGTTTCAAGTTCTAACTTTTTATTAGTTCTGCTGTTCGACCCTGGGTCCAGCCACCTACAAAATATTGCCAGAAATATTCTCTCACCTGCTTTGACCCGCAAGTGAGCTTCAGTGAAATCCCATTCCTAACCTATAAGCATTAAATGTCAGTCCACTCTTTTCAGCGAGAACAGCTTCAGCTCTTCTAGGAATCCTGGGAGTTTAGGAGTGTGTTTATGGGCATTTCTAACCATTCTTCCAAAAGTGCATGTTTTAGTTCACACACTAATGTTGGAGGAAAAGGCCTGGCTGTCAGTCTCCACTCTAATCCCAAAGGGGCTCGGGTTCAGGTTAGGACTCTGTGAATCGGAGCACAAAGCTAAGACGATAAAGATATGGATGGAAGAGTGGTGTGGGTGAACTTGACTGGCCCTTAGTTAGGGTTGGGTATCGCCAAAGAAGTCACGATTTGATTCGAATCACGATTCACAGGCCCCGATGCGATTCTATCACGATGCATCACGATACTTGAATTATTGCGATGCATTGCAATATTTTCTCCTCCATGTTTTGTTTTTGAATGACTCGGCCCAGTATCCCGTGGCCGGAAATGCTTGTGACACAAGGCAGCGTGCGTCAACACATTTGCAGCGACATCTACTGGACTGGAAGTGGTATTACACTTGTTTTTGGCTGATGTTCGCCAACCATTCATGCAATTTTATTTATTCATTTTTTTAAATTAATAATCGATTCTTGGCATCAAGAATCGATGCAGTAGATCACGAAAATTAGAATCACGATGCATCATCATCACGATTATTTTGCACACCCCTACCCTTAGTCATGTTGGGATAAGAAGGGGCCAGCTTCAAGATGTTCCTAAAGTTGGGAGCATAGAATTGTCCAGAATATCTCGTTATTTCGTTTAAATATCTCTAGAGCTCCTTTTAATTGGAACCAAGGTGCCAAGCCCACACCATAATGCGACCTCTTTCAAACTTTACATTTGACGCAACGCAATCATAAAAAAGTAGTTATCCTGGCAACTGCGAAACCCACACTAGTCCATCAAATTTCTAGATGGAGAGGCTCGATTCGTCACTCCAGAGAACCCATCTCCACTGCCCTGGAGTCCAGTGGTCGCCTGCTTTACAGAACTGCATCGAAACACTTTCCATTGCAACTATGGAAACCTGTTCCTTGAAGGTGTCTGCACACTTTTCTTTAGCTAATCTGAAGGCCAAATGAGTTTGGAGGTGCAAACAGTTGGCAACCTTTTCAATCGATGGGCTCCAGAATCCACTCTCCCCACTCAGTCAGTAAACGTTGTGTACTACCACATGGCAGACTTGCATTCGTTTCAAAATACCTCCTTTTTCTTTTGATACGACTATGGAATATTTAGTAGTGAGGAAATTTCACGACTGGATTTGTTGCACAGGTGGCATCCTATGACAGTTCCACACCATTTACTGAGCTCCTGAGAGTGACCCAGTCTTTCACAAACCTTTGTAAAAACAGTCTGCATGCCTGAGTCCTTGATATTATAAACCTGTGGCCATGGAAGTGAATGGAACACCTGATTCCAATCATTTAGATGGTTGAGAAAATTAAGTTAGAAATATAATGTATGTGAATCTATCTGGAATCGCTGCTGACAGACAGGCTACATTTTTTCAATGAAACCATAGATTTACTGAAGATTCATTAACTCAACATAAACTCAAAGCAAACAGGTTGAGGACTGTTTCAGAGGCAGAAAATAAATCTTATTGTCAACGTCAGCGTTAAACCGTATTTTTAGCGTTACTGTCATTCAAATAATCGGCACAAATTTTCTCATGTCTGTAAATTTGGTAAATAAGTCTGCCATTTTGCCTGTATGCGTTGGTGGCTGGTATTTCCTTCCCCTTTAAGAAACTGAAAGCATGTGGGAAATCACGTGACCCCATCGATCCATTCAGAAACGTAAACGAAGAGAACGACGGATGAGCCCAGTGAAGAAGCATCTAACACAGCTGTAAACGAGCAGATGAAGCTGAGCGCGCAGAGAAGCAGTCGAGAGCGGGTTGACAGAGTTGAGCGCGAGGCAGACCGGTTTTTAAGTGAGGGTGTGCGAGTTTAAACGATGCACATTGTTCTCGCTGCACGCACAGTTCAGTGGCACCATAATTACGCTATAGGTGTTGAGTCCTAAAAATAATCCAATTCAAATAAAATATTCTAGGTAATTTAGGCTTCCACTGAGTCATCTTTAAGTCAGTCTGAATGAAACTACTCTTCCTGAGGCTGTTCATTGCCCGCACCCCTCCAAAAAAAGAAAAAAAAAAAAAGAAACACATATTGAATTAGGATATTTTTTTAGACATACACGCAGCACCGCAGACATTTCAATGCTCTCCATTTTTGTCTGATTGTGTACTGTGAAAGTTTGGAGGATGCATGATGGGAGGCCAAGGAGTTCCTCACATAACAATGAGAACGTCACATTATTTCCGTTACCAAAAAGAGACGGAGGAAGTTTGATTGAATGCCAACATCCTCATACTGCAACAACATAAAGTCTGAAAGCCAGATTCTATTGTTTCTATTGTAGTAAACGCCAACAAAAAGAAAAAGGAAAAGTGTGCTGCAAGTTATTTTACATCATAAACATAATATGCTTATTCTACTTAGATCAACTTCAACCTTTTTATACTGTAACAAGTACAGAGCAACGAAATTAACTCTGCATTTAATCCATCCCATTGGGGAGCAGTGGGCCATTCTGGGGATAAAGATCTTGCTCAGGGAACCAGTGTGGCAGTCCGTGGGATTGTGTGGGACTTGAATTTAGAACCTCTGAGACCCAAGCACAATGCTCTAACCACTAGGCCGCCACTTCCCTGGATGGTGGCCTTGTGGTTTAGATGGAGTAGAGACATGGCTGAATAATGGATCATGATATAAGCCTTTCAGATCAGTCAATATCAATAATTATTGGCTTATATTTTACCAATGTGACACAAGTACCAGGAAAACAATGTATTATAACCCTGTTTCTAATTAAATGCAACCTTTAACCTCCTTTAAAAAAAAGGTTCACAGATCTTTCCCCTGCCTAAATCCCACAGAATGCTGTGTGATTCTGGATCAGAGGTCAGTGAAAGTATAGATTATATCAAAAATATTTTATTTCAATACTGAACAGGCGTTTGTTTTATTTTTTTTTATTGCCTAGCCCCAACCGGAGAGTTTTGTCATATGTGGTTTTAGGGGAAAATTAGGAACCAAAGTCTTCAGACAACAAACTTAAAGCTGAAACCTGGACCACAGATACTGAACTTCAACAGCAGTAGAGTAGTGAAATAGTCGAGCTTTAATCAGTGATCTGATTCCAACATGACTAAAGACACACGCTGTTAAAAAACAACTACTGCAGTAGCACCAAAACTCTATAATAAGTCACTGTGCTACACAGCTGGCCTTGTCTTCCTCTCAGTTTTATTAGGCTGTGTAGCCGCCAGCTGCACATTCCAACCAGACCTTAAGATGAAACTTTGCTAAAGGGTGCGATAAGCCCGAAATGAAATCCACCCTCAAATGGGGAAAAACAAAGAAAGAAAGAAATCCGTACCAAACGGAGGAAAGTAGGAAGCATTGCTCATTTCCCTGACATAAAAATAGATCCAATGAACATTTGAATATTTCCAAAATACCAACAGCTTCATCTGTAATCTGCTGTTCTGTTGACAAAGCCACAGCTTTCAGCCCGCAGGGAGGTCTGCAGTGGCAAATTCAACTCTAACTCGAAAAGCTTGATGACAGAACATTCAAGCTTCATTTCATTTCATCTTCTTAATTTGAAACAGAGCAAGTCACTTAAGTGCTCTAAATAAAATTTATAGCTAAAGCTAGTTTTCAACTCCTGTCCCTGGTCAGACTTTTATATAGAGTAGAATTTACATACACTACTTCTAATCTAAAAAATAAAAACACTAGCCAAATGTAGAACATACATCCCATATATAACTCTTACCTAAATAAAAATAAAAAAATTTAAAAGAGTAAAATTCTGATTTGTCTTTAACCCACTTTTAAAGCTTCTAGTAACCCGGATGCTGTTTCGTCCCTCAGCAAATGTCATTAGTACTGAGGTGCACATCTGAACAGCATTATGGTTGAGAAGATGTTGGCAAACAAAAAGAAATGAAAAGTGTACTCAGACGGTGTTTAACTTGGTAGCAAATGAAAATAAGTCAGCAATATTTGTCTGTGGCCTCCCTGCGGCATAGTTTTGTTTTCTGTGCCTTGAGATGGTATTCTATGAAAAAGTTTTTGTTTTTCTTTCCAACATTAATCACCAACAACTGAAATTGCTCAACAATCCAAAATTAGCATTCCTGACTGTTGGGTCAGACTGAACCAATCATAAATGAGGACTCCTAATTTAAGGAGTTTTGCCTTCGTCAGACAATTTTTCATCCAAATGAAGGTTAAACCACAGCTGTTTCCAAATCAGGTCAGCAGGCTTCACTGGATTGTGCAGCACAACCCTCCTGCTGTATGCACACTCTCATGCATACTGCAGAACACAGATGCGCTTCTGTTAAAAAGCCCCACTGGGACTCTGATAATGTCACACATTAAGTTATATGACACATTGGAATTTAGCAAGGAAACTAAATCTAAATGGTACTTATCTGTCTAGAATGGCTTACAAGTTTTTTTTCACAGAGGTCAAAGCTTTAATAACAGATGAAGTCTTTTAGGTTCAATTCATTGCCGTCAGTTTTACTGTTGAGTTTAAAGATTTAAGCAGTCACTTTTTAATCTATATTCCCAGTAGTCCTCCATTCTGTTAGCCTGGTAAACCAGACTAAATGTGAGATTAAATGTGTAATTTAGTCTGGCCCCGATGACTGAGACATCGGAAGATTGTTCTTTCAAACCATGTCTGTGCCTATTGGCCAACGCTCTGACCAATGAGTGCAACTGACTGTGACGTAGTAAGCGCGACAGAAAGCTGGTGGGGGAGTGTAAACAAACACCCTGTTGGTAAAACGGCGAATACATCCTTCTTAAAAATGAATGAGCGTAGAGCAGGCATCCCCAAAGTCGGTCTTCGAGGGCCGCTGTCCTGCAGGTTTTAGAGGCTTCTTTGCTTTAGCACAGCTGATGCTGATGATTGCAGTTCAGCAAAAGCCTGTTAATCAACTATTAATGTAAATCAGCTGTGCTGGCGCAGGGAAACCTCTAAAACCTGCGGGACAGCGGCCCTCGAGGACCGACTTTTGGGATGCCTGGCGTAGAGCCTCTTCCTGCTCACGTTTCAACGAAAACCCCAAGTCTAATCCTTCCAAAAAATTATTTCAAAGCTAAGTCAAACAAGAACTGTTCAACAGTTTTTCCATCTTCCTTGTTGTGCTTTCTCCAGTGTCGCGCAGCTTTGTCGTCCCGCCCTCAAAACCCCGCCCGCCTTGCATCCAGAAATTCAAAACACATCTCTGCGTTGCGATTGTATAAAAAAGTAAAGGAAATGAGTCATCTAGAATGACTGATATTAATGTTGCCTCACAAATGTGGGGATTTCTTTTACTCAACCAGAGGGACACACTGAACCCCACAGTAAAGGATCCAGGTAATCTCAAAAAATGCCTTGTGGTTACCAAGAGGTAGGATACACAACAATCGATCCTGTTTAATGGGAAATAAAAGAAGGTGAGTTCGAAGAATCTCCCTAAAGTCAAAGAGAGTCATTAAGATTATTCCTACATGCAGTATCGTTTAAGATGTTGACCATCATTAGTAGACCAGCTACTGCTAGAATGGACAATACCTTTTTAAAACGTTTACCTAATTGGTAGAGTTAAGCAAATACTAAACAAACTTGAAAATTGCCATGACCTTATTTTACTGTGGCATGCTGTGAGGGGAAACCAATCATTGTTGGTTATCAGACACCATGACGACCCTTTACTCATATAGGCTACAGTACCAAAAATCTGCCAGCTGTTACACAGACATGGATCAATTTCCTCCATCAAAAACAAATTAGAGCAGAGATTAAATGTTTGTCTTTCCTCGAACTCTGGGATCTCTCAGCTTTTACCAACAGCCTAATCCTTAAAGCCTTAGCTCACACATCCCAAACAGAGATGAGCAAATTATTCGATGTAATGTAGCTAAGACAGTAGGAATACTCAAATGTTTCGACAAGTACAGAAAGAAAAAAGGTACCTGGTGATACTCTGAGAGGATGTTGTGCATGTCTGCAACATCTTCACTGGAAATCTGCTTGATCACAAGAGTTCGGTCGTAGGAGTTGAGAAGGAGACTCTCTCCATGATCTTCAGCGCTTCTCACCGGGGGGCTACGAGTTAAAGACACCTGGGGAGAAATACGCCAAACAGCACACAGTTAGAGAGCAGGAGGATATTTTATGTAATCAGACATGAAACTAATGACAGTAAAAACATTCCAACCTGATAGTCCAGATCCTCTATACCAAAACGTTCCCTTAGATTTCGGAAGACCTGAGGGCAGTATTCTTTAAACTTAAAATGCCCAGGAAGGTTTTCTCTGGTAAAGAAGAGAAGGTCAAAATGTTGCATCTATTGTTGACTTATTTAGAGTCACCCCAAAAAAAAAAAAGAGAGAGTCTGTCTTACTTGTTGAAGAGGTGATTGTTGACTTTGACCTTAGTGTTGGCTTTGAAGTCATCAGGCAGGAGCATGACAGGAACAGGCACCTGGCTGAGATCATTGATCTGCACACAGAGGAGACAATCTCTGAGCAGATGACATCACTTCATTTCTTCATTCTTTGCAGTTGTAGTCTTTTCCATATTCAATGTTGTGTGTGTGGGGGGGGGGGGGGGGGGGGGTGGGGGTGGAATTAGAGTTGTAATAGGTGCCCCTGTTCATTCTTTTATAAATGTCTTCAGGGACTTTATGAAGGTGCATGATCTATAAATAGTGTAACATATGCAGTACTAGGTTATGTAACCGATTAATTTTTTCTTTTTTTAAACCAGCAGCAGGAACCTTCTGAAAATGATCACAGAATCCCCTCTCTTCTCAATGGATGGTTATTTGTTTATACATTAAAAACATTTGTTCATTGAGGAGCGTTTATTTAAAGTGTGTCTTTTTGTAGATTTATCGAATACAAAAAATAACTGACATAGGGCTGCAACTAATTATTTAGCAAATTGATTAATCTGTCAATTATTTTTTCAATCAATCGATTAATAATCGGATAGTAAACAGATCCTTAAAGAAGATTTTTTACTAAAGTAAACCAGGTGAAACTAAAACGTTTCCATATTTCCATCTTAAATGCAGAATATTTATATAGTTTTTAATATTTTTTATATAATTACTGCTCTAAGTGGGTTGCTCTGTTAGCTAAAGACATATTTTACAGTTTCTATACTCCAGTTAACGATTAATTGTTTACTAAATTATTTCAATAATCGATTGATAACGATTAATCCGACTGATTCAGCCCTAAATTCATAGCTGCAGTCTTAGTCCAAACCTGATCAGAAATCAGTAAACACCAACAGTGACTACATGGTTTACAAGATGGAAGTAGGTTAGGTCTGAATGGGAACACCTGAGTGCGACACAGGCGAGTAAACTGAAGTATCGGTTGCATTTCCTTAACCCAGGCAATTTTTTTTTAAAGTTTAATAACAGATTTCATATCCATCTCCTGGAGTGTGAAAATCGCCATAAATATCCAGAAATCTCTTAAAATACATACATAAAAGTATATCCCACATTTACTGGAATGCCTGGGGAAAATGTAAAAAAAATCCTAAAATAAATTATATTGTTCTAGCTGTTAAAGAGTCTCACAAAAAACACAAAGATTAAAAAGTCACTAAGCTGGAATAGGACCAGAAATGCATATTTTAAAAACGTATTATCACAGTACTATTTCTCCTGTTTTCCTTTGCATTCACAGTAGGAAAATCACCAAAACTATCTGTGGCTTTAAAAGCTTTAGAAAAAACATCAAAAACATATAACAACCTATGAAATGTTGTATTGAAGGACTTCTTTACAATTCCTTATAGGGCCTATGTTCAATAAGTCTAGCAAGGACCCTTATTTATATTTGACCACACTGTAAAGAGGAAGACAAATGGAGCTAATGCAAAAAGCAGCAGATAGTATCATCCTATTGCCCAGAAAATCTACTAGATTTTTTTTATTTTTTTTTTTTTACTTTAACTAGTCCCTTTGGTCCAAGGGTACAACTATTAAGCTTTAGGCCACAAAAAATATAATATCACCAGGGTCTGCCAAGAGACATACACGAGGAAAAACATCTCATACCCACTATAACATGCGGCTGTAGACCCTTTGAACCTTTTTTTTTTTAGCATATGATCCAGGTAAAGATCTACCGCATGCAGGATGCGGGCCCAGAGGGCAAAAGTTGCTCCCACTAATCTAGGGAGAGTGGGGAAACATAAATTCGTAAATTGTCATCACCGCAAAATTTGACATTTTCCATGTAAAAGCATGTGGTAGTGTTGGGCCACAATTAAAACCTGCAGGACACTCCATTGAAAAAAGTGGCTTTTTATTTTTGTTTGGACTCTTTGTTCAAACCAGCTTGTGTAACCTTTAACCTACTGTGTAGGAGACCTAGAAATGATGATTAACTGTTAATGTTACAAGTGCCCCATCCACATGAATACACCTAGAAGTACTCATGCATACCCTTACAAGAAAAAAACTAAGGAGTATGATAAGGAGTCAAAATCTGTTTTTTTTTTCCTTGTAAAATTGAAAATATAAATTTAAAGAACATTTATGCATGATTCCATATTTAAACACCAGGTTTTGAGAAGTTGAAATGATAATATTCTATGTAAGCTTCCACTTGTCAAACATTATAGGGGAAGATGAAGTTTGACTAGTAAAAACACTGATGCTCTTAACAGCAAGGGACAGGGCAGACTACTTGCTAGAGAGTTTGAGATCTTTTGAATGGGGCACTCCTGAAGACCTTCTTTGACTATGTTGGCATCCGCCATCAGTTTTTTTTTCTTTCTTGTGTGTGTTGGTTCTGCAGTCTGTGTGCAGCCGGGAGGAGGCGGTTGGATAAGCTCATTACGAGCTCCGGCTCCGTCCTCAGGCACAATGAAGATGATTGGAGTCGGAACAAGACTGTGAGATAAATAACATCACTGTTGTGATCATTCCCAAAAGACCGGAACCAGGAGTGTCTCAGAAATGCTCCATGTTGACCAGTATATACCGTTACGTAGAAACAGCATTACAAGTGATATTACCGGAGCTGTTATGCGTCATGTATTGATCTTCTATTTTTCCCCCATGCACTAAGAATTTGTCAAGTGCTGAAACACTATAAAGACGTGTCCTTAAAAAGACAAAGTAAAAATGGCTGTTATTGGTACATATCCATATAAAGTAGATAAATGAAAAACACAAGTAAGCTGTGTTGCTTTTTGTTTATATTAGTTTTACACAGGTGTATGGTCCCTATTTTCTCATTCCATTGCCTGCACAGATTATAATCTAATCAAAATGTATTTTTGTACAACAATCTCTTTATCAGCACAGATGTAAAAGACCATTTGCAGTCATTTTTAACCACCTTTCAATTTCATCTGAATCATGTGTGCACCTCTGAGCTTTCTACTAATTGTTTTATAATAATAACTAAAATGTACTGATCTCACATTGGAGCAATTTAGCTCTGCATTTAAACAATCCCACTGGGGAGCAGTGAGCTGCCATTGTGGGGCATCCCGGTAGCAATGTGAGGTTAAGGGTCTTGCTCCGGGACCCAGAATGGCTGTTTGTGGGAGTGGGGCTCCAATTCAGAACCTCAGGATTCCAAGCTCTATGCCAATATCACACCCAAATTTCCCCACTGTGAGACAATAAAACTTTCTATTCCATTATACTGATTGTCGTGCTGGCAATGTACAGCAAAGGTGTTAATCATTTTAACATCATGCACATGGGTTCCTTTTTTCAAATTAATTTCTTATAATGGGCTTTGAGAAAAATGAAAGGAAAACGAGGGCTAGTCACGTTTGTTATGGTATAAAACACTAAAGATGTTTTTAAGATCGTGGAACAGTAATGTCTAAAAGTTTGGATCATAAAGGCTGTATCCATAAAGTAAAAACACCAACAAAAACAGATAAAACTACAGTCACCACTAATCTAAAACACTTATCTTAAACAATGTAAGTATATTTCCCCTTAAAGCTGTACCAATGAGGGTAAAATGTATTAGGAGTTGGTCTATTCACTGTGCAATAGACAAGTTACCAATACACATTTACAAGTTATGAATCTAGCAACATCTTAAGGTTAAAATATCCAATATGTATGATAAAAATTAGGCAACATAGCATAAAGTTATGTCTGTTGGTTTTATGATTTCCATTTAAGCCAAAATAAAAATAAAAAAATAAATGATTCATGTAAAAATTAACAAGCTTACCCTATAAAAAGCCATTTTGTAATTAAACATAAAATAAAACATTTAAAAAAATAGGTTGAGACTGAATGCCAGGTTAAATATAAACACATTCTAGTCTCATTAAACTCTTGAGTAAACTAAAATAAGACATACAACTCTGAGATAAGCTCCCTCCCTGTACCTCCCACATACAAATATTTACTTAGGGATCAATATATTACAACTTTTTCCAAATACTAGAGCGTCAAAGCACCTGAAATGTTACAGATTGTGATTTCAAACAGGCATTGATCAAAAACATTATTTAACTGAGCCGACAGGCTGTCATTGCTGCTAACACCGAAGCTAACCTGAGTTAGCATATTCCCACTGACATGATTAGCATGGACTGAAACGTTAGCTTCCACCGACTCACCGAGTGATTGACGCCCCATATGAACACGCTCACAATGGGCTCACTGGCTCGGAACACCTTCACCTTCTGCTGAACAAAGTGCTTCTTCTTCGTCTTCGTTTTCGGCGCCAGGACAACCATCGGACTGGATGTAGAAGTCCCCGGGTTACCGAGGGCAGCCATGGCCGCAGTGTGTTTTCTAGTCCCCTGCTGAGGGAGCTCTAAGCGGGCGGTGACGCGTCTTCTTCTTCCTGATGGTTCAACAGCTCTTTCACGCGCCGCTGACTGTGACAACCAAAGTTCACGCGCCAAACCTCTGACCGTTTTAACCCGAGCCTCTTTTTTCCACGGTGCAGTTTAACATTTAATTTGTACACATTTATACATAACCACAATAACCAGACTGCCCTCTTAACCTTCCGAAAGCCAGTACACAGTCCACCACCGCCACCCTTAGGTCACTCAGTGTTATTTTCAGTTTGACTGACAGCTGTCAGTGTCCAAACATATTCAATCTGTTGGGGTCAGGTGACCCACATATAGGCGGGAACAAACACGTTTTATGCATTTTTGGTTAACGCATTAAAGTAAACTCTTGGGACATGTGACAAAACATTGTATTCTGAGGGTATCATTTTGGAATACTGATATGTATTTACAATAACTGACATCTTAATTTATTATTTTGCTTCAGGATCAATAAAGATCTATTTAATTAAACGTTCATAAAAGGAATATGCGTATGCATCACATATTTAAATATGTTTATGCCATTTACCCATAACGTATATCAGAATCATAATGCGCAGCAGCGCTCAATTAAAAATCTGAATCTATATAAGTAGGACACATGATGGTGTGCATCCAGGCAGGGGCGGAGCTAGATGGGGGGCCAGGGGTGGCATGGGCATAGATTTGCAAAGGGACCATAGTGACTTGTCCTTACCAAACTTTTGGCCCGTCCTACTTGTCCCTACCAATAATTCTATTTGAATAACATGTTTATAGTTTACAATATAGTGTTGTTGCAGCAGTCGCTTCTTTTCTCACAACTTGTACATTGAAGTTCATATTTTAATTGCTCATTGTCAGTTTCCCTTATAGTTCCCGTGCCCATGTAAATACAATAAATCTATTTGCAGTCCCTTGAATATGTTATTTTGCTTTGTTTTTACAGTACAGAGAATATTAGCATATCAGATTAAAATAATAAGAGTGGGTTTTACCTCTGTTTACCTCTGCACAATTCAATTTCTTCAAAAGAAAACACAGGATAAATCCACATATAACAGACATATTTAAACTATATTTGGTTAAAAAGGAACGTATTTACCTTCAATCATAGTCAAGTTCAAATGTTACCCTTTTCAAAGCGTTAATTTGTCCCAATTTTACATTATTCTGAGCCACTGACGCTTCAACACTCACGTCAAGCATAAAAAAATAGGAGCATGCATAATGCGTAGGACCAATGACATCGGACCAATTCAACTTAAGACCAATAGTGTCCCTACCAAGGTTGAGGTCAAAGCTACGCCCTTCAGAGGTCGCCATGGCCACCTCTAGCCAATTATTGGCCACCCCTACCATTTTTTCCCTCTAATACAGACAGTAGCAGTAGTAATACTCTCAAGTGGAATATTCAAAACATTTTTTATTTTTTTGGTTAATTATACACATCAATATACTAATATCAAAGATGATACGTACGAAATTCATGCTCTTTTTTATAACTAGATTTTGTGTTTTATGGGGTTAAGAGAAAAACATGTGTCTCTGCAAGTCATCTAGGAGTCTTCAGTAAACTCATAGGTAAATAACTATTTTAATAAAAACTTAATAAATAATCAATTTATGTAGATATTAGTGCAGGTAAATATACATTTTATGCAAAATGTTTATTGATTTTGAAGTTAATTAATGACAATGATGATTGATTTATGCCCCAGAACTCAAAACTCAGTTTTATCCACTATATCTTTTATCTAGAAATTAGGGATGCTTAAATATATGCATCTATTTGTTAACAAAGACTGTAGAAAAGTATAGTTAGTCTTTATTTAGAAAATATGGCTGTTTTGCTTTTTAATTTTCCTGTTGGAACAGTGTATATTGACCCAGAGGTTCTGGTGCCGATCCGCTTTCAGCCACCCCTCAGTGTACATTGGTTATTGCCTGGCCACCCTTATAAAAAATTTCTGGCTACGCCTCTGCATCCAGGAAAGGATCATGTTTCCTTCTTCATTCCCTGTATCACCTTCCAATAATCAATTTACAAATGACGCATTCTATGCTGTTACACAGGAAATGGTCACATATTTGGTGTCTGATTGCACAGGCAGGAGAAATTGATCTTATATGCACCTAAAAACTGCCTAAAAGCAGCATGAGCTCAGTGCGGTTTCAGTATCCCACTTGGAAACTGTTTTTTTTTGTGCGACAGTGCACATCAACCATAATTTTCACTACTTTCCTTTGCTCATCTTTGGTGCAGACTATTTAAATGTATGTCATATTATAGAATAGTTCCTCTGACAGTAAAACAAGGTAGTATACACAGAATGATATGATACAATTATTCTGACATTTCTACTCAAAAGCTATGAAATCAGATATAATTTGACCATTTAGCAAACTGCTTAAAGGAAGCTATTTCACCCTGAAGGTGATTACACCTCGGAGCTTCCCTTCCAGTTCTTTTCCTGGGAGCAAGCTACTAGGTTTAACTATTCTTAACTTAAGACTTGGTAAATCTATATAAAAAAATTACCAAAACAGGTGTGGGCTCGTCGTCAGCATGCAATGGCATGCAGAAATCGAGCTCCAAACATTGCATCAGGTGGATGCCTCTGTGCCTCTTGCTTCTATGCCTCAGGACTACGGATATGCTCTTCTGTATCAATCTGGCTCCAGGATGTATCATTATCCTGTGTTTATTGAACAAACAAAGAGACTGCTCTCATTTGATCGCCTCCGTACCCATAATGTGATACACCATGTGAAGGAAGGCTGTCCACTCCATCTAATCTACTTAACAGATAGGTAATACACATGACTAATAAAGAATAAACCTAACAAAAGCATAAATAATTTTAGTTTTTTTTTTTGCAGTTGTTGGCTTTTGTGGTTTGCGTTGTACATAAGAAATGTTTGTATGGAGATGGACAGAGTGGGGCATCAGCTTAAGAAATGCAGGGGCGACTTCAATCTGTCGTGACTTAAAGAGCTGAACCAAAGACCAAGCCTAAATGTTCTATATGTTCTCATTGTCACCTGTGGTTTTGACATTTTGAAAAAGGGATTCTGCACTGTATTGGCTAAAATATGCTTCCTCTGGCTGGTTTGACTCAACCTTACAAACGCGGCCAGGAACTCCATCATCCTGGCAGGACTCAAAATTGACCCATATTGAATACAAATTTTATTCTTTAAATTTATTGTTGTTGAAAATACTTTAAGATAACTTACTGGTGTCATCTTTCAAATTCAGCTGTCAGAAATGCATAACTGTTTTTCTTTTTGGGCATATTTTCTTTATGAAACACTGGACTGCAATGCATAAGCTTTCTACTGAAGTTCAGGGGTGAAGTCCAATTTAGAAACATACGTATGCTGACTGTTATGGAAAAGACAGCTCAGAGGATTAACCAGCCTCTTTAAAAAGATGATCAGCTTTTCCTTTTTTTCTTGTAAGAGTTAAATGTTTCTCGTGATTTTAGAGGAAAAACTCTAACCCCCTTTTTAGAAAAAGAGCAACATTCGAGTTTCCATCAATCACAGGTTTTCAAGGTTTAAAAGCAGCAAAGTATTGAAGAAACTCTTTAGCCCTCATTTGTATGGAGAGTGATGAGTGCCACGATTCAATAAATTACGAAATAATTATTTAAATGATTCATTCATTTATTAAAAATGGAAACAAATACAGTTTTGATCTAATATATATATAAAACAAATTATTTGGACATATTTTATGAAGAAAATATAGTTATTTCATGTTCCTTGCTGAGGCACACCAGGAATTTATCAAAACTGTCATCATTTATCCAAGTCAAGGAGGCAGGATCAGAGCCGATCCATTGAAACCCTGACATGTGATTAGTTTCTTCTCACTAAGCAAGATAAGAAAACGTCTTGTGAACATTATTGCAGAAAAAGGCAGAGATAACTTTGAAAATGTGTTGCTATTTTTTTACAACACATATAGTGTGCAAATCCAGCCTCTAAATCCATACTTTGGTCTGAAATATATGTAATAAGCTTACGAGAGAGCTAGCTTCTGTCTAGCATGGTGGGAGTATACATTTAACTGAGGCCCATATAATTAAAGATATTTGTTAAGTAAGTTCTGTATTTTTCCCATTTTAATAAAACATTTAAATAATTGTTTCATAAGGTATTTATTTATTGTATTGCAACACTCGTTCCCCTGCATACTTTTGCTCTCAATGTTACCTCAGTTTATTGTTTTGCTCGTATTTGTAGATTCATAACTTTAATTTGATCAAAAAGGAGTCAAATATAAACATCTAATTGCACACTCATGTCTACAAAAATGTATTATTTTGTATGAATAACAGATGTTTTGGATTATTCCTCTGCCACATGACTTCTATCGTAGTTTCTGTGAACTGACTGCAGTGAGGCTGTTTTTACAGTGGCTGCACCATCAGTGAAAAGATCTCAGTCTATCATAATAAAGGAAAACACTCGACACCTCACATTCTATTAATATATGTTTATTCTTCTCCATTTTTACTGTCAGTTTTATTTTTGTATTTGCAAACGTTTTACAGGCCCTCTGTGTACGGACCCATCACCACAGCACACACACTGGCACAACAAGATTGGTCAGAAACAGGATTAATTTCTTTTAGTAGCACACAGATTTCGGGACTTTTGCAAGGACGCAGCAGAGACATACCATAACACTAACAAATCAGACCCTTTTTCAATTTTTTTCTTTTATTTTACTGAAATCAAAAATGACAGCATGACTTGCAAAAAAATAAATAAAACAAAGAATTAACATTCTTATTCTTATCCACTTTTAAAAAAGCATAAATATAAGAAAAATTAAAGGATAAACATGATTTATAAACAGAGGTGTGGACTTTGTCTCGATGACTTTAATGGTCTCATGGTGCATTCGGTTTACCTCAAAACAGGGAAATCAGAGTGACGTAATATTCAAAGTGTTCCCCATGTGGATGCTCCTATTCTCCAAATATATATGGCCACTTTAACAACAATCATAACAATAACAAAAACACTGATCTAGCACTGTGTTTTGGGCATATAAACAACATTGAAAAATATGGTCTTAAAGACACTTAAAAGCAGTACTCGTAAGACTAGGCCTGTCATAATAAACAATATATAAATTCATCGCAAGATTAAAAAAAAATAAATAAATGCATGACAAATTGAAATGAGCTCAATTAACTT